ATTTCTTTTTCTACCTACGCCCATACCGACCGCTACTTTTGCTTTCATTAAGGCGGCAACTGCGGACGTTGCCACTTTTTCTCCAAGAGTAGACTCCTCATTTCCTATTCGTTCTTTCGCTGCTTTATATAATGCTCTATCTGCGTCGTGTCTAAATTTTAAATCTGAACTGACCGTGTATACTATATGTCGTGTTTCTTACACGCTTCGTCTAATGGATTCACGCCTCGATCTCCTCTCGATAATCTCTTTTCCAACTTGGTACCCGGTTCACAAAAATTATATCCTGGCAAATGAAGTTCTATCGGAAGTTTATCTATCAACTTGTTAAAAAATCCTCGACCAATTCGTTTGCCTGTCAAACGATAACTGTTACGATTAGGTTCTAACAAATTCATTTTATAATTTCACTCCTTCTTCCTTTTCTTCACAGTTAAAAACTAGAAATGAAGCTCTGCTGTTGTGCTTTAAGCTTTTATTCCTTTTAAATATTTTACAAAAACAGTTTTGCTCTTAATTTATACTTAAATCTATTAATATTATTATTATTATTCAGCTACACTTAAATCTACTAATATCCTAAAAATTAATTGTTACTCAGTTAAAAACATTTCGATTACTCTACAATGCTAAAACGTTCTTGATATATATTTAATCTATAATCTACATCTAAATATTTTTCTAATAACTTATTTACGTTTCTTATCCTAGTCTTAAATCTAATTCCGTCCAACATCTTTTCTTCCCAGTCACTTATCCTTGATTGTCTGTAAGCAAACGTCCAAGTGTGCATTCGGTACACTCTATTTTTCGATTCGCAAAACGTCACTTTTTTTTCCATTTTATTCACTTCACATCTTCATTAATGCGTGCAAATCTAAATCCAGTAATACCTTATCCATACCGTATACGAGCAGTTCTTTAGTTACGCACAAATGTTCACTTGGTGCACCGTTTGAAGCAACCAATATATTCGATTTTATATCACCTTGCATTGTTGATACCACATCGATCACGCTATCGTAATAATTTTTATATTCCATACACTTTAATACTTCTACCCTACTCGAAACTAAATCGCTAAGTTTCCACAATTCGTGTAACGAGTCGTAAGCCAGGTAAAATATTTCTGACCCCCTTTCCATTTTCAACACTTTTCGTACATTTTCTATCCATTGGCTGCTGCAGGTCACGCCGCTTACAACGAAATGTGGTGGTGTCGATAAATCACCAACAAAACTATTCATAATCAATTGTCTGCTATTAATCACATTTTTCCATTCGTCTTCGGTAAAAGTTATGCATTGTCCTTTTCCCATTAATCTTATAACCGGATCAAAATGTAGATTGGCAGACATGCCAACCGATATCCATTTCGTTCGACTTTTATTTAAATAATATGTACTCTCGGAGAATAATGGCGCTTGATTACCTTTTTGGAGATTATTTTTCACTGCTTCATTTAATACTACGTTACTTGTGAAAGGTAACTTTCCACAATTTTCTACATAATGTTGTTGATTGCTAGGAAATACGTACTCCGCTAAGTCGGAAGCCAACAAATTAATTCCATCGAATACCACATCCTTTTTTCTTTGATTATCACTTCCTAGCGACACATTTGTTGCAGTTGTCTCATTACAATTACCCTCCATTTTGATGTTTCGGGCAGGTTTTTTATTTTCACCCTTTTCAAATGAATTTACAGCAGCTCTCTTAGTTGGACATTTGGGGTTCGGTCTGGTTGCCACTAAACATCAATATTATTGTTTACATCAGTACATTATCTACTTATATTACATTTGAATTACTTACTCGTTACGTTAAAAATCCTCTGTACTAAATGCACCAAAAATCTACACGATATTTTTAATATGTACTAAATACACAAAAACCTTACTCTGAAGCACAACACTCTGCGGTACAACTTCGACCAACGTGTGTATTTATAGCAATACATAAGGTTGTTGGTGGCGGGAGTGATGTTTCACATCATTACCGAATATATCTATTATACATGTTCTAACACGACATTATATCGTGAGACGTCAGACAGAACGCATAACAAATTTATTAAGAAGCTCCTAAAAAAAATATCTCGCAGGTAGATCATGACTCTACTAACAAGTTAGTTGACCTCCTCCTCAGAAAGTTGACCTCCTCCTCGAACCTATCTCCCCAAAAAAATTGCCGGTTGAAGAACCTCCTCGCATATTTTTAAATACCCGTATACGTTCACATAATAAATTAAAAAAAAATATCTCGCAGGTAAGTCATGACTCACTTATTTGTATACCTACATGTCTCAAAACCGTATACCTTTGTGTATAATAAATTAATAGGTATATCGAAGACATTAACAGTTCATTGAGAAGCGTCGAAAGATAAACATAGTAATTGTTTTCATCTAGGTAAACAGGAGGAGGAGGTTCTAGAATCGGCGAATCTATACTACTGCTTAAGTTGTTGGGCGGCTTTAAAACGTGTAGAATCGAAATTTTTAAGTGTTTAACTCCCCGAAGGCGTTCCAAAACTAATGAATCGGTTGATGAAATCCACAAATTGTGTATTTTCCAAAGTTTTATTTCCACAAAAATTATATTTCAATAAATCAACTACGATATCGACCAATTCAGCACCCTTGTAAAACTCGACTGTTCATCTCAACCCGGATGTATTTTTGAAACTTGAAACAAGTTTTCTACGTCATCATCTCCAAAACAAAATTCTCCCAAATTCAACGCTGGTTCAATTTCTATTTCTTTATTTGATTCTACATTAAAATTTCGCCGTAATAAGGTAAAAAACTATTATGTTTGAATACATCACTTTTATCTCAATTTGTTTAATTATGATTATTCGCAAGGTCGATGCGTTCCGTCGTCGCGCGCATCGATCGTATTGTCGATTAACTCATTTCGCACAATTCGCACCAGAACAGCGTGTTACTGCACATTTTAGATCAATTCGTAATTTGTTAATGATCGCTTTGGTATGTGGAAACGTTGATCTTTCATTGTAAGTACATATTTTAATTATCTGTTAGTAATTTCTTTATTCCTTCTCTTTCGTTTACTGCTTTAATTTACCAGTTGTTTATTACATTTGCATTTTAGTTCACTTTTTGAACAGTTTTATTTTATTTTACTTTCCATTTCTTTCTTTCATGACCTTTCCTGTTACAGACATTTATGTTTAAATTCCACAATTCTCGTTCGTGCATAATGGAAGGATTAATTTGTGTAAACCGTATTATGGCTGGGTGTGTTATATCCTGCCAGCGATATTAAAACGCGCTATAAAGGAAATAGAGTGGGTGACGTCACGAATTACGAAGCAGTGGCATGCGGCCATTACTAACTGAACGAACGTTTTTAATTTACACAGTGTGTTAACTCTACGTCTTACTCAAACAACTTATACTTTGATACTGACTTTATTTGGAATATAAACTGGTTTATAAATACATTTATAAAACTAAAACTTGACACATTTTCATATTACATCTCCCCTAAAAATTAAAAATAAAATACATTCTCAAATTTTTATTTTAAACTTAAAAGTAACTTGAACCTGTAAACGTTGAGGTGGTTTTACTATTCTACCATACCTTGTTCTATATTGATTTTCAACATTGTTCTTTTTTAATTTCTATGTCATTGTCACGTGTTCTAAATGTTGGAATATTTTCCGAAGGACGTATATCTATCGTGTTTCTTCTTTTTATTCTATTGTTTTCATCCTTTATAAATATTGATCTAGGAGTATTATTCGATTTGATAACCTTTGCTGGTTCCCACTTATTTTTATATCTGTATACTATATTATCTCCCTTTTTGAAGTTTGTTTTGTTAGGTTTAGCATTTCTGTCATAGTAGCTTTTATTTATTTGTGCTTTTTCGTTTAAAGTTTTTGTAAAATTCATTATAATTTTTGGTCTTAATAGTTTATTTCTTATAGGTAATTTAGTTTTTATTCTTCTACTAAATAAAAGTTCAGCAGGTGACAATTTTGTACCTAAAACGATCGATATTCTAATAAAACATTATATATGCCTAAATCTCCTTCCATTGTTTTTTTTTAACATTTTTTTTTTACATATACCAACTGCCCTTTCTGCTAGTCCATTACTTTTAGGGTAATATGGACTGGAAATTATAATTATACAATTCCATTTAATACTAAAATCTTTAAATATTTTAGAGTTAAAAGGCATATTGTCGACTATCATTATTTATGGAACTCCGTGTATTGCAAATATAGTTTTCAATACAGTGATTAATTCTTCCGAATTCTTTTGCTTTAATTTAACTAACTCTATCCATTTCGAATAATAGTCAATCAATACCAAATACGATTTATTGCTATATTCTAATACATCTACACCTATCTTTTCAAAAGGTAGTGTTGGTTGTTCACTTATAATTATAGGTTTTTTGTTCTGAAACTTCTCACATAGTCTACATTTTGCTATGTATTCTTTTATATCTTTTATCATTCCTTCCCAATAAAATAATGTTTTAGCTTTTGCGATTGTTTTTGTCATTCCAAAATGTGTTTCATGTAATTTTTTTAAAATATGAATTTTCATTTTTTCTGGAACCATTACATTATTCTCATAAAATATTAAATAATCTTCAATAAAAATTAAATTCTTTACTTTATAATATTTTTTTACATTATCTTTTACTTTAGATATTGAATTAGGCCAACCATGCATGCAATAATACTTTAATTGTTTTTTAAATTTATTTTTATATTCATCAGACATGTTTATAGTGTGAACTACATCATTCAAATCAGGTACAGTTATTTTTTCTGCCTTTTTCCATGCTCTATTAATAGCATCCGCGATTAATAAACATTTTCCTGGTTTGTATACAACATTTAAATCATATTTCAATAATTTTATTTTCATTCTTTGTAATCTGTTTGATGGAATTTTATTTATGTCTTTTTTCATTATACTAACGAGTGGTAAATGATCTGTGTGAACTTCCACTTTTTCACCATAAATGAAATGATTAAATTTTTTACATGCAAACCATATTGCCAAAAACTCTTTTTCAATTTGACTATACCGTATTTCAGTTTCAGTCAAACTTTTTGACGCATAACATATTGGTTGCCCTTCTTGTAATAAAACACATCCTATACCTTCCTTACTACTATCAGTTTGAATAGTTATCTTTTTTCTCTATTAAAAATTGTCAAAACTAGTTGTTTTACAGTTAAATTTTTTAATTCTTCAAAACATTTTGTATGAGCATCCATCCATTTAAATTCAACATTTTTTTTAACATTTCTCTTAAAATATTTGTTTTTTGAGATACATTTGGAATAAAGTCCCTTAGATAATTTACTAATCCTAAAAATCTTTGCAAATCTTTTTTATTTATTGGTATATCATACTCCACAATAGCTTTAATAGTCATTTCATCAGGAGTCACTGATTTATAACTAAATTTAAATCCTAAGTATTTAACTTCTTCGGTTCTGAATTGAAATTTTTCTTTATTAAATTTTATATTATTTTCTTGTGCTCTTTTTAATACTGCCCTATCATGTTCTTCCACAGTTTCACCAAAAATTAAAATATCATCTATGTATATAAATACGTTAGGAATATCGTCAAACATTTCTTCATTATATTTTTGAAAGACTTCAGCTGAAACTTTTAAACCAAATGGCAATCTTTTGAAACTATAATTCCCATACATAGTACTAAATGTGCAATATTTTTTACTATTTTTATCTAAGGAATTTGCCAAAAACCATCTTTCAAGTCCAAGACTGAATAATATTTAGCATTTTGAAGTCTAGATTTTAAATCATTTAATGTAGGAATAGCATAATAATCATTTAATAAATTCTCATTTAGACCTTTCGGATTTAAACACAACCTTAAACTACCGTTCGGTTTTTCAACAATAACTAATTTATTTATCCATTCAGATGAATTGTCAGCTTTTTCTATAATACCTCTTTTATTTAAATCATTTAATTCAATTTTTAATCTTTTTTGTAAAGCTAATGGAATTCTTGTAGGTGGATTACAAACAGGTTTTACACCATTTTTTATTTTTATTTTATATAACATTGAAAATTTTCCTATTCCTTGAAAAACATTTGCAAATTGATTAAAAATAGTTTGTTTATCTTTCATTTTATCTACTGAATCTATTTTTTGTATTAAATTTAACTTTTCACAACTTTTTAACCCTAGTATTGGCATTCTATCACTATTGAACCGAGAAATGCAGAAAGGGCGCTAGTCAAAAAAATACAATTTGAGAAAACCAAAAAAAACCTTTTATCTTAGAACGTCCTAGCTTTATTACAATAAATCATTAAGTAGTGTTATTGTGTAACTTTAACTGTTATGTAATCGCATTATTTGAGAATAAACGTCTTTCTAAATTTTTTTCGGGCATATAAAAAAGATGACATACGCCCTTTCTGTAAAACGAGAAATAAATATCTGGTAAATTGAACGATTTTTTATTATTTTCGTAAACAAAACGTACAAAATAACCAAAAAACAATGAACTAAAGCTTATTGCACATCATCAGTATCATTATTGTTACATGTAGTTGGCCATAAAAGTATCAAATCGTAAAATGGTTTGTAATCCTCTGGTACAAATGCAGCACACTTTTTTATGTGTTCCATCTTATGTTGCTTTATTGGAATTTTTCCTAGAGAGTATGCTGGAGTTGTAGGTAAATTTCGAAGTACAATCTTTCCCGGTTGCTTTAACTGAAAAGTATGTTTCACGAAACCGTCGATAAACTGACTAACTTCCACACGACCAGGATATTGAGAATCATACAAGAAACTTGAGAAAGTGCTGATGTTGAAATGGATTTTATTGTTTCGTGGAATATCTCTAGACTTAGTTTCTTCTGATGTGCAGTTTTTTTTGTATAGTTTTGGCCACCAGTTTCTAAAATTGATTATATCAGTTGCATCAACTTCTTTAACCATAAATTTGTTTGAATTACTGCTGGTAATAATGATTTCTGTTATTTGGTGAATCGTATAGATTCTATCATGTTTTCTTAAGTTTCTTTTTATTATAGCGAAGTCTCTATCACAGGGGAGAAACGAATGGCCCCTGACAGGAAAATAATGTATAATTTTGGTGAATCGACCGCTATCAGTTAAAAAAAGAAGCATTTGGATAAGTGTATGATTTTTATTTTGTCCCCAGCAATTGTCGGAAAACAGTCGAAGTTCTTTTACACTTTCTGGAATTTCTTTCAAATAATCTAATAGGAAGGAACAAATTTCGTCAGCCGTCTTCTTGGCTTGTCCTTCATGATAAATGTACATTTTTGCCGTATTTTGTTTGACATTATGAATGCAAAAACACAAAACCGTCAACTGATTGTAGTAAAACACCTCTCCCACAGGAGTTTTAGGTAGCTGGATATTTTGCATAAAATCGAAACTTAATGTCAACACTACTTCTTCATTACCCTTTTCTTCTACCTCACTTTTTAGTTTTGTATAAAATTTCTTACTTCGACGTTTATGTACTACTAACTCAGCAACTGCTGTTCTTTTAGCTGTACCATTTAGATATCTATACTTAATTTTATTATTTAAAAGTTCACAAGTAGAACAAACATCGATTTGAGGGCGACCGAAAAACAAATTAAAATTTTCACAAAAGAACTTCCTATATGATGCGTAACTAATATCTAAGTCAACGTATTTCTGTTTAAACAATTCGAACATTATTTTAATGTTAAGTTGGCTGTCTAGATATTTCACTTCTCTTCCAGAATAATGGCTTAATTTCGTAGGAAAAGATTCTATATGACTTTTCATACACAGCTTTACATCCTCTGATAGTGTATTGGCACTTGAATTCTTTCCACGCAAGTCTCTTGGAATTTGACCTAGTACAGNAATAAATCTTCATTTGTTTGAAGTCTACCACATTTTCTTGTGTGACACTCTCTAAATCTGCGTACTTGTTTGTTTTTTGCTTCTTGATAAATAAGATCCACAATTATGTGTTAAGTAATCTTTGACTGCCAATTTTTTGGTTAAGGCGCACGTTGGCGCAAGATTTCTTTCTTATGCTATGTACACCATACCTTCAGCAATAAAAAAATGTTAGCTACAATTGTTCGATTTTGTTCGCTCGCAAGATATTTAATTTAAAAGATTGAATGGTCAAAAAATATAAGTATTTATTGACGTCAATAGAAATGGTTGTAATTTTTTTCAACAAACATCTTTTGAAATTTGGAAAGGCGTAAAATGAAGACCTTTCTGTACTTTATAAGAAACCAACGACACAATATTTTCAAGTAGTGATATACCATCTTTTTTGTTTTCTAAAGTTGTGTCGTTTTCTAAAAAATTTCCTTATACAAAATAAGGTAATTGTAATAGCAATTTATTTCGCGCAGTAGCTATTATAAAACACCAAAGACTTCATAAACTTCACTAAGAGTCTATTAATAGTTAAAATATATGTAACATTTAAAATAACAAAACTATAAAATTTTTTTTTTTAATTAATTTTAGATCGGGTTTTGAGTGTTTTCGGACCACTGTGTGACTGCGCCATATGTTAACTCTACGTCTTACTCAAACAATTTATACTTTGATACTGACTTTATTTGGAATATAAACTGGTTTATAAATACATTTATAAAACTAAAACTTGACACATTTTCATATTACACACAGAATGAATGGAATGTTCTTTAAAATTGCTTATAGGTGGTAATTCTAATATTCCTAGGTGTTTAAAATTGAAATGGTATGTGACTCTAGGTAACACTTTGTTAAACCAACTCTTTTAAGCCTTCTCACTAGGTGTGAATTTTTCAGGAGTTCACTAGGCTCAATATCCATATAATGATGAAGGCTCTCTTCATCTCTTTCAGCAGAACTTGTGATAATTTTATCCATTGTGTCCACTTCCAATTCTCGATGTAGATCACTGATTCTGGAGTATCAGGGTGCAGCCACGATACTTGTTAATGTTTTATTTTGGAATCTTTGACCCCTTTATTGCTTTGTTTGGTGCACTCCGTAAGTTCAGACTGGTCTATGGTGTAAACTCTTTTTTTGTAGGATTTTTATTATAATTTAGCAATGCATCTCCAAAAACGATCAAGTCATTCAGATAAATGAATCATCAATCATATGTTGTACCTGACATTGCAATACTTATTGCTCAACTGAAACCGCTAGGACTAAACTTAAGTTCCATTACAAGGCTCATCATTTTAGATGGTTTTGAACAGGTTTAGATAAGTTTAAACAATTTAAAACAAATTCAACGCTTTTAAATAATTTTGTACAAGCTTACATAATTTCAGTAACATTTTGAACTATTTTGTGAAATTTTGTTAATTTTAAATACGTTTTGAATATTTTAGACAATGTTGTATAAGTTTAGTCAAATTTAGATAACTTTGCATAAATTTAAATTGTGTCTTAAATTTAACGTAACATTAATTTATTTATGTTCGGTATTAAAATAACAACAATTGTATACAAAAGCACTATTGTGTAGATAAGACAATGAATCATTTTAAATGATTCGCGAATACTTTTAACGATTCGCTGTTTTTCGTTACATTTGAGAGAGACGCCCACTGCTTGATGTTGTAGAGCGACACTACACCATATTGAACGAATAGTGTCGTTTTTTTGCGAATATTTAATTCGGAGGAATAAAACCATTCATGCAGGTCTCTAATTCTTAAATTCTTCGTTGTTTCGCCAAAATATTCGGTGATATTCACTTGCCTATACATTTTTTAAATATCTACACGTATCGTTGCTTCCGAAATCGAATTAAAACATCAAATATGCCCTTTGTACAATTGGACCCTTCAATTGCACGTCCTTCAAGTTAAGGCCAGTAGCTGTTGTTGCAGAGCCATCAAATACTGTTCTTAATTTAAGTTAAACTTGATTGCATTATTACTGCGTGGTGAGGTGAGTAGTAACCGTACTTCGTTTGTGTATCATTAATCTTTCAATTGGGTCATAAACGCTGTTTATCTTTATGCTAATTCTGAATTTTATCTTAATTGCTTTTCCAAGTTGAAAAATCGTCTTAAAGCTGCTAATTGTGAATTTCCTAATTCCACTAATTTTTCTGAGAACGCTATGTTTACTACAAAATGTCCGTTCATATCTCTTGTTGTTGTTTCATTGAAAACCTTTTCGCATTCTTTCTTTGAAGTGTTATCGGTTGCATCAATCTGATTTGCTAACGAACATAGATTGGTTGATGTAGTCTTCGTATTGTGTGCTGGCACGGTGCCTCCCAAAATATAGCCTAAACGTGTTTTAGTTAAAATAGGTTTACGTTTTCCTAAGCTAATATGATGGCCTTCTAAAACAGTCCAAAACACTGAAGCTCCCAACAGTATATCAACACCCTCACTGTTCACATGTTTCCCTGGTTATGAAATTGCTTTGCGATCCATTGTCCAATAAAGCTCGGAATATGAAAGCTGTATTAAACCCATTCCGCACTTCCACACGCACAGTGGATTGTTCAGATTTGCATTTGACTTGACTAGCGCAAGATGTGATATTCGTGATCTGTGTGGTGTATTGTCTTCCTTTCTAATTGTCGTTGTCTGAAATAGAACCATTACCGAAAGTAATAATTACCAATAATATACTTACAATTAGTGTTATTTTAAATTTGTGTTTCAGCTTAAACGGGATCAAAAATAACAACCAGTTTTTTTCATTTAACGTAAAAACGCCAGGAAAAAGAAGTTTATAGAAGATTTGGAGGTAAATTTATTTAACGTTCTATTAAGAAGTAAATTTAATTAGAATAGCAAAATCAATTAAGGTATCAATAAAATTGATTATTTGAATTGTACAAAAATTAATAATTTTCTTAAGAAGGCTAACTTTCAAAATATCAATTTTGTTGATTTTCGTTATTAAAGTCGGCTATAAATCAAATATTAGTCACGAAGAAAACATTTTAAATATAACTTGGGTAATTTATGGCAAAAACCAAATGAAGCTTAATAACTTAAATGAACACGTTTAAAAATAAAATAATACTTTATGAATAAAAGGTAATTACATTGTAAGTTTTATTTATTAGCATTTAACCAAATCTAATATGATCATAATATTATGAATTTTTAGATTTCATCGAGATTTTGTGCTAAAATGGGAACTTTTAGTTCATTCGCTAACCTACTTCAAAGAATTTCTAAACAAGACAACCAATCAGTGGTGAGATTACATCTTTGATTCAATTTTACAAGAATTGATACAATAAAAGCCTGAGATGGCCCCACCTCAATCTAGAAATAAACATAAAAGTGACGATGAACCAGAAGACAATAAGTCTCAAAGGTTGAAAACTGAAGCAACAGATGAATTTGAAGAAAAGGAAAGGACAGAAAATGAAGAAATGATACTTAAGGAGCCGTACCCTACTGGAGGGATAAAACACACTCTTCACGGCATTGTCTACCAACTAAAACTGTTGATGCTCTTTGTAAAGCGTGGAGTAGATCTGAAGTATGATTTTGGTTTAGCAACAGAAATGGTTGAAGCCGAAAAGTTTGATGATATAGTCTTTCGATATAAGGATGAAAACGGTTATGAAATTTATCGCTTTGTACAAGCCAAGCATATACAAAATAATAATGAAAAAAAAATTACAAGTTCTGATTTACTTCAAACAGAAGATGATAAAAAAAATAATTTTAGTTTACAAAAGTATTTTAGTTCTTATCGTAAAATCAAACAAAATTCAAATTTTAAGGGTGAATTTAAAGACTTTGTTATTTGTACAAATATTGATCTAGAAGAAAATGTAAGAAAGAATTGGTTTAAGGAAATAGCTGATGAAGATAATATTTTAAAGTTTAATGATAACGGGTGTAAGCGCTATAATCTTAACATAGATAAAGTTCTCGAACACGAAGATCTAGTTTCAAAATTAAAAAATGCTTCAGAAATTAGAAAATTAGCAAAAACACTTGCTGAAATTGTATTTGAAAAGGAAACTTTGGATTTGAAAAACAAGCTATTGCAATCTTACCACGGCGCAATGATAAGAGAAAAAGTAATAAATGTAAATATACATAAAAAGAAACGCTATGCGACATTTCATAATGATTTCTTAAATGGAAACTCACAGAAATTAGAAAACCTTAAAACTGCGTTTTTTGAAGAATATTCAAGAAACAAAAAAAATGTAGACAAAGATAAATTTTGGCAAGATGTAAAAAAGGAAAAATTTAAAATATCATCAAAATTTGGAGAGAAACACACAGAAAAGGACTTGCCAGACGATTATTATGTTACGGATGAAGAAATAAAAAGCTTTTTTGAAAAGTTAGTATTTGCTGTCAACCAGCCTGATGAAATTGAGCTGGGTAACATTATTAGACATGAGATAGATGACTATATTAACTTGATTGATAATGACATTGTAGCAAGTAAATTTCAGATACACATGCTGGATTGGATGAAAGAAAAAGAGGGACGCTTTCTTACTCATGAACATGGCAAAAGTTTTTTTGAGGAAGCAGAATTAGAGATTCGTACGTTAATGTTAATTAGTCTCACCTTGCATTATGGTTCAAAAATGGAAGATTTTTGTATTGATTTTTGCAACAAACCAACAGAGCTTACTGATTTCTTAGAGAGAAAGTCTCCCGACAGAGTTTTCAACTTTATCAGCTCGCATAAGACTACAGTAAGTTCGATTAAGGTGTATTTAACATTAAAGGACATTGGTGATTACAAAAAATATGATAGCCACATTTTTATACGCTTAAGTTCTCTTTTGCGAATGAAAGAACGTGTAATAGAGGCTTTTAAATCAGAACGTTTATACAACTTGCTAGTCATCGAGTGTAAAGTTGTAGAGAAAAATGTGGATGATCTATTCAATCAATTATCGAATGTTCTTCGATCCGCGGCTGATAATAAAAAAATTATTCTCATCTCCCAAAAGAACGATCCCCTATTGAATAAAATTAAAAGTAATTTTTCTAAGAATGGATACCAAGAAAAAGTAGATGAAAGAAATAAATTGACTGACCTCAACAAATCATCACAAAAAAAGCTTCTAGAAAATACAGAAGTTATGTTTCAAGGAGCAAACGTCAGTCTGGATACATTAATAGATGAAAGCACAAAACCTTTAATAAATGGTGAAGTATTGTCTAAGCTTATTGATGGTGAGCCGATAAAAATAGGTAAATCACCTAAAGATTTAAAATATAAGGGTATTCAAGAATATTATGTCGATCGAAGTTTTAGTCGATGTGAAGAGATAAAAAAAGAAGAATTTGAAGATGCAACATTTGATAAAAACAGTTCTAAGTTTTACACTATTCATAATAACGAAAGTGTTGAGTCAAAAAATCTTCAATCAAAACAAGATATTGTATTAATATCTGATTCAACTGAAAATTTTGAGAAATTATGTGGTTTTAAGAACTACGAAAAGCATCATATACATTGGCTCAAAAAACAAGAAAACAAGTTCATATGGCAACAATCTCGTGGTGATTTATCAACATTACGTAAATTCGTAAATACAGATACATCTACAGTATACAAGCCAGAAAAATTCACAGATATAGATGACAAAGTGGTTATTGTTGCTACAGCACCCGGTATGGGTAAGTCCACCGTGCTTACTCATCTTGCATTGTCTCTAGAAAGTTCCTTATGGCTTGTAAGACTGAACTTGTCAAATTGTTCACGTGATTTACAAAGAGCAAACGAAAAGAAAATAGATTTTAACGAAATTGAAGCTATAAAATTCCTATGTAGAAATGCAGGGTTTCAATTCTCAGAGGGGAAAGAAGATGGAGAAACAGAAAACGAAAAGAAGAAAAGGGAGCAAATGATAGAAAGCGATCTCAACCTTATAACTATAGAAAACGATGAAATAAATTTGGAAACTAACGAAATTGATGGCGTCAAGTTATTAGAAATAAAATTATTTATGCATTTTTATAACCGAGGTGACGTTGTTTTACTGTTTGATGGGTTTGATGAGATTTGCCCCGACCATGAAAAACAAGTTATTGAATTACTACAAACTTTAAAACATTCTAAAGTGAAGAAAATATGGGTAACAACTCGTAATTATGTCAAAAATCAGTTAGAAGAAAAGTTATACACTTTTTCCTATACATTAGAACCACTTTCCAGCGAAGAGCAGGCAAACTTGTTAAAAAATATTTGGAAAGAAAATTTGAATCGTGATGACCTAGATAACGACAGGTGCAACAACTTTACTAACGAGCTAATTAAAAAGTTTTCTCAAGATATTAACGATCAAGAAACTGACTTTTTGTCTGTTCCATTACACACATCGATGGTCGCTGAAATTTTTCAAGACGAAGTCTCTGGTGAGACTTTTGAGCTTAGTAAAAACCTGGATTATATATGTATATATGAGAAATTTATTGTTAAAAAGTTTGATAAAATTTACATTGAAGAAAAGATGTCTGGTGTGGAAATAACTAATCTTGTAACGAAAAAACTAATTAAGGTTGAACGGGAGAAGTTTATAGAAGATCATAAAATCTTAGCTGTGGATGCAATACTTGCAGAAAATGAATCAATGGAATTATTGCTTTCTAAAGAACAAATAAAAAACATGTCTAAATTAAAAAACGATATAAAACAAGGGGGCGAAAGAACCGGTATTATTGACAAAGTTATAGATGATAAGCCTAAATTCGTTCATCGTACATTTGCTGAGTATTTTGTATCCACGCTAGTTTTTGAGAAATTAAAGTCAAACTATAAACTATGGATGTCATTAAAGCATATTTTTTGCGATGAAAAACACAGTATCATTCGTAGATTCATTGACTCTTATTTGAAAGTTCAAGCTAATTCTTTAACGAGTTATTGGCTTTCTGTTGAAGTTAATCCTCTTGATTACGAAAAACATTTGCTTTGCGCTGTACAAGAAGGTTTGGGTAACGTTTTCTCTTTTTTGTTAAAAAGTGAGAAACAGAACAGTAATTATGGGGAGCTTATCAGTGTACCAAGAAAACACATCAAGAAGCTGTGCGATAATGGAGAGTATGAAAAAGCCAACTTATTTCCAAACAATGCGTTAAAATTCCTAGAAAAAGAATTAGGAAAGAATCATCTTGAAGTTGCAATTATTCGTAGATACCTAGGAAATGCTTGTGGCACTAAAGCAGAGAATACTAAAGATGACATCGAAAAAACGAAATTGTTTGAGGAAAAAAAGAAGTATCTTGCAAGTGCTTTAGATATTTTTGATAAACATATTAAAGTCGCTAAAGAGACCAATACAATTACTAATAACAATTATTTTCAACAGGCTGTATCTACTTTTAAAGAAGACTTTTCTATACAACATGTAAACGAATGGATTAGAGTGCTTGAACTTGAAAAAGCAAAAGCGACAAGAAACTTGGCTGTTGTTTATGGCGACTTACATTATCCTGAGCAAAGTAAGGATCTTCTTGAAAATAAAGCTATACCTATTTTTGAAAAATATCTTAAAGATCCTATAGTTAAAGAAGATGAAAAGTTATTTATAACAGTTGATGTTGAATGTGCAAGAGCAAAAAGAAACCTAGGTAATACTTATGGAGACTTGAAGCTCTGGCAGGAAAAGATACAGTTACTTGAAGAGGCTTTAAAGATTGATAAATATCTTAAACAACCTAACACAAACACAGAGGAGTTAATAAAAAGCCTTAATGTCAAACTCTTCATTGCTGAAGCAAAAAGAAATTTAGGTAACGCCTATGGCAAGTCAGATGATCATAAAACAAAAAAATTTTATCTTAAACAGGCCTTACCTGTTCTTATAGAACATTATGGATTTCGCAGTAATAAAGTTATTAAAGCACAAGAAAATCTCAATAAAGCATATAAAAATTTAGGACTTCCACTTCATGCAGCTGTTATTACTGATGATTATGATGGTGTATTAAAGTGTATTAATAAAGTAGATCCTTGTATTCAAAATGAAATTGAAAAAATTCTTCTAAATTTGGAGAAAATGCCGTTGAATCGAGATTCAGACAAATATAAAAAAATTATAAATATTCTTAAGTCTAAATCTAATAATAAGTAGTTGTATTGTATCTTGGAACTTTTAATAAATGTCTCGTTAGTACTAATTTCGGTCCTCTGAACCACCTGCGCCGGTTTCCATGTCTTTGTCTGTACGTCCTGAAATGTGACATTTTCTCCTGCCTTAAACAAAGGTTTTTCGGCTTTGTTTATCATACCTTTCCTTTAATCTCTGTTGCTTTTGTTCTATGTAGGCATTTTTATATGTTACTGTTGTGGACTGTATATAGTTGAATGAAAAGCTTCTATTTTTGTTTTAATTTATTTTGTTTAACACAAATATAATGCTTGGAAGCGTCCGTCATCGCTGCTCGTAACGGACTGATCCCTTTTCGCGGGTAACAACTCGACACGTGTGTCCCTTCGATCGCTCACTAACGACATCTATGAACGAGAGTCGCAACATAACTCCCACCTTGAAAGAGTTATCTTTCAAAAGATAAAAAAAATAACACATAAAGAAACTTAAGAAAATATAATATATAAAGTCAGTTACTGTTCTTCTATTGGTAAAACACAAACTCGATGTAGATACACTTCTAGACACAGCTCCACCTGAAGTATGGATCTTCACCACACGAACCTTTCCGTCTGGACCAGGATGGAGTTCTTCTATTCTTCCTGTTCTCCACTGCATTGGGGGAAGGTTGTCATCTTTAAGCAGAACCATACTTCCAATTTTGACAAGATCTTCTCGGTAGAATCTCCACTTAGTCCTTTGTTGTAGAGTATGCAAATACTTCAATGACCACCTTTTCCAAAATGATTGGTGTAATTTTTGGAGTTGTTTGTAATTTGTTAATCGGTTAACAGAAATTTCTGAAACATCTACTTCAGGAACTGCCAATAAGGCCGTGCCAATCAAAAAATGTCCTGGAGTCAATAATTCCAAATCTTGAGGGTCAGAGGATAAAGGAAGTAAAGGTCTTGAGTTTACGATGGACCCAATTTGGATCAAAACTGTGGAAAAGGTCTCATAGGTTAGTCTTTCATCACCACTTGTTCTCATTAAATGATACTTAACCCGTTTAACCGCAGCTTCACAAATCCCACCAAACTGAGGGCTTCTGGCGGGAATGAAGTGCCAAACGACCCCTTTGTCACGAAAATAATTTGAAATATCAGGATCCTTAGCTAGATCTTCTAAATTAGCATACATTAAACTCTTAGCCTCTTTAAGATTAGTAGCATTATCGGAGTATAAGCATCGACACAAACCTCGTCTACCCATAAATCTTTTAAATGCATTCAGAAATGTGTCAGATGTCAAATCAGTTACCAACTCTAAATGCAATGCCTTCGTAGACAAACAAACAAATAAACAAACGTAGGACTTAATAAACCTTCGCTTTCTTAATTTACCATCCTTGATTAGTATAGGACCGGCATAATCCACACCTACATTCGTAAATGGTCGTACTGGTGTTGTTCGTTCTTTGGGCAACATACCCATCTTTAGAAAAATGAATCTAGGTTTTACTCGAAAACAAATTGTGCATGAACGTAATATCTTTTTAATCACATTTTTTCCGTCTGCAGGCCAATATTCAAGTCTTATAATCGAAAGAAGAGTTTCAACGCCAGCATGCAAACTTTCCAAATGTTTATGTCGAATAATTGATTCAGTTAACTTGTGTTTGGAGAGTAAAATTATTTGATGTTTACATGAAAATGTTAAATCAGTGTTTGCCAATCTACCACCCACTCTCAAAAGACCATCTTCGTCTAAGAATGAATCTAAAGTTTTCAACTTACTGGTCAGTTTAATTCCCTTGGCCTTTAAATTGGATATGTCCTCACTAAATTCTTGTTCTTGAGCCAATTTGACCAATAACCTTTTACTCTTCTCCAATTCTGAATTTTTTGCGAATTTGTTTTCCAATGAGATTAAATGTCGCTTTGCAATATCATAGGATTCACCTAAAATTTGAGGATTGTCCTTCAATGGCAACGAAACTTGAAAACAAACATCCGTCTCTCTTTGATAAGTGTTACGAAAGTGAGTCTCAACCTCCAAGTCTTCAGGAGATAAATGGTTAACCCTCGGTGATTCCTCGATTTCCCAAAATCTTTCCAAAGGTTTCAATAATGCAGTATTCTCATTAATGGTTTTACGAGTGATCAGAAAACAAGAGTTACAATTCAACGAAAATGGGATATTCCCTGCTATTATCCAACCCAGTTTTGTTTTTTGAAGTATGGGTCCTTCATTTCCATTCAATTTGATTTGTCCTATTGACAGTAGTTCAAAGAAAACTGAAGCACCTAGCAAAATATCTACGCTGTTGGGTTTATGAAAATCAGGATCAGCGAGTTGTAATTTTTCAGGAATTTGTAATCGCTCCTTATCAATTTTTTGTTGTGGTAACT